CTTAAAACATGATGCCCTTGCATGCCATGAAATGTCAATTGGTCATAAACAAGCCAAATCGATATTCGAAGCAAAGAATGCCCCACCACCAAAGCAACTTCCTGCTGATAGAATCATCGAAATGTTGAATGGTAAAAGTGTTGACAGGTTAGACAAGCTATTCCGAGGCTGTAACAGATGGTAATGCTCATTTGGTAGCTGGATTAAATTCTGACTATGGTTCAGATTTTTCTGATCTAGCTGAGAGCAACAGTGACACAGACATCTGATATATCATGTTCTGAATATGCATGTTCTCTACAGCTGCTTTGTTGTTAAAATAAACCGTGCATAGTATATTGTATACAACTTGTGTTTATTTGTGTGTGTGTGCGAAAATAATTGAAAAAAATGTGCGGGACTGGTAACATTTTAGCAGGGCTTTTGAAAGTTACCAGCCCTGATGTCTGGTATGTAATCTGGACAAATTTCCTACACTGATTATATTTCTAAATAGCTACATTTGTTCCTGGTAAAGCTTCACTTTGATCCAAATTTCAAAACTTTTGTAGCAAGTTTGATTCACTATATATGTTTTTCAATAAGCTTGTACTCTTGCGTTATTGTGAAAAATTTATAACTGTTTATTTAAGGTAGAGATGCAGTTTATTTGGCTTGCTTTTTAATTGAGTAATTAGACAATGAAGATGGTATTATATATCCAACATGTTATATATTTTCTGAAAGCTTATTATACAAACTTTGTAAAACTTGTCTTTATTTTAAATATCCAGAATGCGTTTTTGATTTTGGGTCAAAAATATGCTTTTTTGAACAAAAGTGGTTTAAAAAAAATTAGCTTAAAAACTTCAAGTCCATTTGTGGGTAAAATTACATCACTGGATACCTTGGTATACTACTAATTCAAATGCGTCCACTCATCTCTCTAACGGCTTTCAAAGTCGCACAGCATGACCTCTAAGTTCACTCTTTTCTATTTGCATAATTTATATATCCATGTTAATTGCGGACTTGTTATTTTTGTTCACTCGCTGTAATAAACTGTCCGGACGCATTTTGAAGGGGGAACACTTTGTCAATAATGTGTGAAAATTTCGAGGCAAATGGCCAAAGCGTCTATCAGCTATTTTAATTTAAAGCCCAAGAATTCACCAAAAATAGAAGACGAGAAAAAGGCTAATTTGCATATTTGCGCGTTAAACCGGGAATTACTGCTTTGTCATACTTTGTCATACTTTCTAGACTATTGAAATTGAAAGTTAACGTATAGACATAGACATTTTATGTAAAATCGTTGGACCAGAACAACTGCTCTTGAATATATAAATCAGAAACACGTCATTCATACCAGTGTTTTGATGGGGATGGTAAAAACACGTGGCAATGCCCAGTAAATATGACGTCATCTCATGAATTATTAAACAGGGGGCGGTCCTAGGAAGGTGACCTTTTATCACGATCAAAACATCATGGCTTCTCTTCGATGTATTTTCAATAAAAAATCTACGAGTATTTCAGAGCCTATGGTTTACCGTGAAGAGTACAAAGTGGGATATTAAATTATTTATCCTTGATGATTTTTATGTAGTATTGAGAACCAACTCCAGGAAGCGAACGCACAATAATGAATAATCGCGTAATCCTGGAATCGAAACGCGAGGCACAGAAGTTTTGTTCATCGTTTCCAATCCCATTTTTCCCACTGCAACATATTTGTTAAAAGAAATATTTGAATTCTGTTCGTTTTTTAAGGAGGCATTTTTTAATTTTTTCCCGATTTTGGCAACGCCTTATTCAGGGATTTTCTAAGACAGTCGCAGACGGATGTACGTACAAAACATGCTGTTGTACTACCGGCGACGGTCGCCTGCAAGAAGAGAGCTCCAGCTCCTAACGTAAAAGTTTTAAAATTTCGACCGGTTTTAAATAATTTGTGTTGGAAATGTGACATGTTTTAAGAGTGCAAAATGAAGGTGCATTTTCGAGCGGTCGAATTTTTCTGAATAGAAATCGGCAAATGAAAAAAAAAATGGGAGTGCTAAACAGTGTGCTTCGTTAGTTTAAAAAAAATGGAATGTCCGTCAAATTGACGTAGACTTCCCCATTTTTCACGGAAAAAGCAAAGGTCGTGGCCGAGTTGCAGGCTAAAAAAACTCAAAAATCAAAACAAAATCATCAATCAGTAAGTATTATGACAAGGAAAACAAAACATCAGACGTGGAGAGGCGGTCAGCGCGTCAAAAGAGTTGTTACCGTAATGTATCAAGTTACCTCTCTCTGTGATTTATTTTTCATTGAAATTATTTGGTTGTTTTCAATTAATTTTAGCGTACCTCTGCAATTTATTTTAGCATTGTCAGTTGTTTGCTTCATTGAATTAAACGAAGTTCGACCGGGTTGCAAAACAAAGCTG